TACGAAGCGCCATTATCACCGGTTTTATCCCAGGGGCTTGCCTTTAACAAGGCTGACAATGCTACGATGAAGAGGGACTGGGTTCCGAGGCTAGAGGGAGTAAGAGAGATGACTGAAGAGAGGATAGAGTGGAGAAGAGGGACGTAAAACCTCACACGTATTCTACTGCTTTGCGCTTAACGGTTTAATCCCACTGTAACAAAGGTGACCGACACTAGACCCTAGTCTCGCAATTCTAAGTGCTTCAAGGGACACTCCATCGAATTTGCGGAAGAAATTTCCCCACGTGGCTCAATCGTGGATTTGCCCTTAAAAGGCATAGATTCATACAGAGGGTACCGTTAATTAGTAAAACTGGGTGCGCTCTCGAAACTTCTCAGACTTTGAAAAAAATGGGAGACCCCTCTGAACAGATCAGCTGCGAGATACAAAGGTTGCTAAGGCCTCTTAAAGACGTACGAGGTCCTCATGGAAGCATCCGATGAACTTAAAGGTAGTGGTCGCGACTGTTCACAGACGGAATTTGTTCGCATCATTGGTGGAAAAGCAGACTACGTGACTACTTGAACTCTCCCCTGTGTTCTCTGCCGCGAAAGGCCAGAGCGCAGACGATTAGAGAACGGCGCCTGGCTCGGCTCCAAAACCCAAGAAGGAAGGTGACAACCCTAGGACTAAGCCTTGGAGGGAGAAGGGACTCCGGAGTGGGTGTGGCAAAGTTTGGATGTGTCAGATCACAATAATCATAAGCCGCTGTTTAAGCGAGAGAGCGCAGGCGAAAGCATCGAGTCGACGCGGTTTGAAGGACCGAGTTCAAGTTTTCCGTAGACCGGAAAAGCATCAAGGGGCGTGTATCTGATCCATTCGCGCCAACAACATTTATCAGTCTTTCCGACAATGACGTGTCCAACTCCTGTCCGCCTCTCAGCCATTGCTACCGCTGCCACTAAGAATACTTGCTTGCATGGCACAATAGATGCCTCTCCCAAGAGACTCAAGGCGCTGCACCAAACTGGTGGTGGTGGACATGGGCGTCGATGTTGAAGACTGTCCACCATTAGACAGCCAATTTTCGTTTACATCAGGATTCTGATGATTTATCTGCAAGATATAATTTACCATTATCAAGAGGTACTACAATATTAAAGTTCAGAATTTTGAAAAATTTCAGTAGTTAATGACCCTCCAGTAAGTAGCAAGGAAATTAATTTTGATTCCAAAGCGTAACAGTGCGGTTCTGGAGCTGATAAAGAGTGTGTTCGTGTAAGGAACAAAGCTGTATGATCTGAATAATTCTCAGTCGACCTCGCCACGCACGACCATCAATCACCAGCGGCTTCTGCAGAATCCTCAGCTCGGATCGCTAAACTGATTCAGTGCTGGGAACCGTTGAAAGCCACTCCGCCTCAGGTGACGAAATCGTCAGTGTCACCGATGCTCTCGAGCCTTCGATGATCCGACGATAGAGGCAGTCTTGTTCAGGTGAATAACAGCTACGCTTTAACGCATATTATTAGGTTGGAAAGAAAGTTCTGCAACACTCTTTCCAAAATTTTCTTTTTTTCTGAAAAATTCATAGGTAACATTTATGACTACCAAATGATAGAGCATTCTCAAGGCTTCAATCCACGAGGTGGATATAAGTTCTGCAGTCAGTAGTTATCCAAGAAAATTCAAAAAATCTCGACCACTAGCAAATCCGTACTCCGAGTCACTGTCTAGTACAAATGTCTACAAAACCATGGATTCGTGTCAACGACTGACACTATCTGCAATAGCTTCTAATGGCATGCCGTTCAGCGATACAGCGTGTTTCACCTTTACCAGCGCTTCCGATCTTTTGATATTTTTATAAGAAGCCAGCAGCATCCCTCACACTCCATTACAGGTAGGGCTCTTACAGAAGCTCCACTACATACCCTTCGTTATGGGCACCATTGTGTAGGCAGTGGCCTAGGTTGTGGAGTACCAGAAGCTGGCCGAGGTAGCTCGTCAAGAGCCCTCGTACCGCGACAATATTCATTTCTTTCATGACATTGCGAATCACCATGATCCGAAATGAGCCCGGTAAGAAATTCTGGAGTTGCGGCAAGATTTCTTTCCTCTCTTAGCGTAATCCCCTGGTCGAGCTGTAAATAAGTGCTACCTATCCTGGACCTTTAATCATCATCTTTATAACGAAATAATCAGACGATCAACTCCAACTCGAAAGTGAGGTCGCCTCCTTTCTCGACTCGCACTCCGCTGGGTTTTGGCGAGGAGGATCAAGAAATTTTCTGAGCGTTGGAGACAAGTGGTGGACACTCATGGTAGATATAAGACCGGTCAGGAGTTGTAACCAAAAAAGATAAAATTAAAATCAAAAATTTGAAAAAGTGTTGCAGGACTTTCTTTCCAACCTAATAAATATCGGTTTGAACAACACCTATAGCATATTTTATACGAAGTTATACGACTGCAAAACAGCAAGAGACTCTTCTTGTGCCACTTAATGTGCTGCTCATGTCGTGGTTCATTGGTACCACCCCACTCGCCTTCTTCTCTATGACGAGACAGAAGCGAGCAGCTGCTAGCGACAGAATTGGTTTGGTATTGGCCTTGTCCTATTTCGGACTAATCCCATGGATATACGTCATCATTCAGAAAGGTATCCATCTGGAAGATGTAAATTTTTTGTGTTGGCAAAAACTGCTGGATCGTTTCAAAATTTCTAACGTAACTTTTTTGAAAAATACAGTACTTTTGACTCGCGCTCATTCCTTTTTGTGTTCCAGCCGACGAGCAGAAGAGAACACACCTTCGAAATGCTTCGTAAAGCCGGAGTCTCAACTTTCTGTTCATTAATCTGGAGGTTATCTCTTCTTGTTCTCCTCAGGCTCACTCATCAAATTTATACAGTTTTATGGGCACAAATAGTGTGACAAAAGTTTTACAGGTTGGCCTAGGTTATTGGTCTCCATTTGCTCTGTTTTGCGATAGCATCCCGCTATACAGGGAGTCGATTCGAAGATCTATTTATGTGGAATAACCGGCGTCTGACCAGCTTCGATCTATCGATCTATGATGCTGGAGTTTGCAAAAGAAACTGAAGCCCTTTTTGGTGTGCTGAACAGAAAAATGCTATAGTTCGGCCACGGACGACGCGCTAGGACCATAGTTATTTCTACTACCGACAAAACGCGCACAGCTTGTTTCAACGGTTTGGGTCACGTTCTTCGGCAAGTGATGGCAGGCACCGTAACACCGACCCCTGACGTAACATTAAAGGACGCATCCACGCATCGGAAAAAGCAACCCATTTCAAATTAAACTAGGATGGTGAGTGGTACACGAAAGAAGGAAGAACCATGAGAAACGGCCCAGAACCCGAGAAATGGTACCCCTTCCTTGCCCGTTGATTCGAGCATTGATGCGACTCTCATCGCTGTGCCCTCTTCAACACTACGCTCTCTCAGCTATCTAATCACTCGCCACGTATTGAACTACGGCGAGTGATCAGATGATCGGTGGGCGGAGATCGCCGGACCCGCCAGCTTTGAGGCATGATAGGTCGCCGAGGTCAAATTTTTCCATGCGAATTGCGCGTCAGTTCGCACCCTCAGGAGGTCCGTGGGTCCCTCAACTAGGTCAGTTTCCCTTTCTTCGACCTTCATTCTAATCGTGAATTCCTCCTTTAAAGCAGCAAAGAAGCTTAAAAGTGCTATTCCGAGATATCTTACGAAGACTTACCTGAATATCACCGCGGTGAGCATTCGACCAGGAAATGTCCTCGTATAATGTAAGATGGAACTTCTCATTGGCATAAGAGCGGCACAACGCTACGAGTATCGCAAGAACATGAGCAAAAAAAGACGAGGGCCACAGGCTCTCTGCATGGCAGATGTGGCAGTGGCACCTTGATGATTACATTCAGTTTTAAGATACTCTTCATATATTTTGGGTCTGTTGTTTTTTCAGAAAGGATAATCACACTATATTCCTCCGTTACTTTCAGAACCTTTACTCATTCCAGTTAAAAATGGTAAGGCAATCTAATTGAACTAGTTTTTTCTTTGAAAGGCCTAGATGCAATGCGGCGGTTCATGACCGGCCGGGGTGGCATCCGATCTGTGGATGACCTCTCTGAACCACTGGCAATACAGGAGCTGATGAGCGGTCCAATAAACGCTCCCCCCTATCGCAGGCATACTTGAACGCGTGAGCTGCCTAACACCAGTTGAATTCTCGATGCTTATTGAACCGCCACCACCCTCACACTCATTGGCGGCTTACAGTGCCTTTTGAAGGCTAATCCAGGCAGAAGTCGTGTGAACGATTCTCTTCGGTATGTAGGATAGACCCCTAGAGGGCAATCACAGACGTGGCACTCCTCTGCATGGAAATCACCCGACGAAGCCGCTAGGGCCTTGCAAAATGACTGTAGCAGCTGCCCATATTCGAGCAGCAGGCTGCAGC